TCATTCGCTATCCAAAAATTAGATGGTTTGATTTACATTCGCTGTTTCTCTCCACGGGTAAGTAACTGACATACAGACGCGGATAAATACCGCGCAACGGGGCTTTATGGGGCCATTAATTTGGAACTGGAATGTAGCACTATGTTTGAAGACAGATTCTGATCGTCTTCAACTGACATTTGACCCAAGCATCAGAGCGCTACTGCAGCACCATTCAATTAAACTCAAGCAACGAACAGAGCTGAATGTTTTGCCTTGTTAGTTTGGATGTCGCCAGCAGTAATTTCTTATAGATAAAGGTTCAGGCCCTCAGAGACGAAGTTATAGGTACTATAATGTATATGATAAAATAACTGCAATTGTTAGACTGATAGTTAAGATGTGAACCTAATTTCTTTCAGCCTTTTAGACAGCCTCAGTTCAAATTCGACGACCGCTTATCGTTGCGGGTCGCGGGGCAGACTCGTAGACAGTGCCTCTAACGTTCTCTGTCCTGTGCCAGCGTTTTAGTTTCGGAAGAAGATAACTTGAGTCTGGATCAGAGTCCTTCCATTACACTTAGGTAGTGGAATACCTTCCTCCGAAGGTATTCATGGTCGTCAACTGGGTTCTCGGTCGGCTAGTTGGACAGCTGTTAATAGCTGTTTCGCCCTCCATTCTGCAAGCATTCGCAACACGTCCCCAAACTATCGTTGCTGTGAATTATCAGTCTGGAAAAGCAACGGCTCTGCACCAAGGCTCTCGGATATCTTGTACTGCCGACCTCGTCGGCAGGCGTGTACCCAATAATGTATCGAGACAGCCCAAATTAGATCTTCAATGTGACGAATTGTTAGATTACCTAAATGACAGTTGTTTATTTTCTGGCGTATGACGACAGGAGTTTTAAGTTCAGATCTTATTTGTACAGCCAGGCGGCATAACAGGTCTCCGACCGGGGTAGGTTGCTATTCCACTTTCGAAATTCCTCGCTCGCACTAGTTGATTTTGTGGTCGACTGCCTAATAAGTTTAAACGCGGTCGCGCGTAGGATTTTTTTTCAGACGCCACTTTTGGAAAGGATGTCTTTTTCTGGCGTGGATCATGCGGATTCTGTTCAAAGTTGCCTTTTACTTTTAGGTCAGATGGACGCCCAGCGGTTGTCTGGCCACGTCGTAATTTTTTCCATCGTTTCTCTACTTAAAGCTTGCAGATTGATTTTAGCTATTTGAGTCTGATCGACGTGAGGTGTCGCAGTTTTTAAAGAGTTGATTTATTAGACTCGTCCTAGATTTAGATAAATTGGTAAAAAAGTTTCTTCGTTGCGCATGTGCAAACGACTCAGAGTGATGATCTCAATGTTGCCTTCCAGAGTTGCTGCTTGATTACTGGTCGGAATCTAAATGTCCCTGAGAAGACCATTTAGTTTCATGCGACCCTGCGTTCAGCCCTTGTGGTTCTGCCGCTTTTGATAGCGTTAGTTCGTGTTCCCGGAGTGCACCTAATGAGTTAACCGTGTGAAAATTATTTCTCCAAATGACAGTCGATGTTGCGCTACTTGAAATTGTCCAACTGTAAAATTTTTTTTTGGGAACAACCAGCATGGTAGAAAAATTTTAGTTGCTATTTTACGGCGAATGCCTTTGCATGAAAATTTAAATAAAATCAAATAAAATTTAATGAAAACAGGAAAAAAACGAATTTCAGAAAGCTGAAATAAAAGTTAAAAAACCTCATATCTGACGTTGTCGTCAGTACTTAATTACCAACTTCTAGCCGCGGTTATTTTATTTTTTTCATTTCAGATATTTAGAGGTGCATGTTCGATTGTTTGTTAAATAAAAACGATATTGAGGGGTTTACTGATAGATTTAAAACACGAATTCTCATATGCAATATCCTGTTCTTAGTTCTCTCTTTGTTTTGCGTAGTACAACAACAAGCATAGTTTCGTCAACATGCATTGTTTTAGTATGTTTCGTGGTTCATATTTAGTGGCGATATCTTTTAATGGCTCAGCTCTGATGTCAAGTTTGTGTCCTGTGTTTTAGAAAACGTCACCTGTCATTCGAGCCAGTTCCGATGTAAAGATAACAGAAGGTGCATTCTAAAAAATTTAGTCTGTGACGGATCGGAAGATTGTGAAGATGGTTCAGATGAGGAAAATTGTAGTAAGCAGAAATTCTGCTGTTGTTGCGTTTGGTTGACGTGCCTTTTTCAGGTGACACAGCGCTTGAAAACAAATGTGTGTTGCCAAATTTTGCTTGTTGGAACGATTCGAAGATTTGCATCAGCCCGGAGCACCTCTGCGATGGCGTACACGACTGTCCTGATGGCAGCGATGAAGGAATGCTGTGCAGCGAGCGGCAGTGTACAAAGTTGAACCTGTGCTCAGATTTGTGTTATAACACTCCTAACGGATTTGTCTGTTCATGCAGACATGGATATAAGCTGCAGCCTGACGGTCGCACTTGTTCAGGTTCGTCCAACATGCCGGTATTTGTTCACGCATTTCGTAACATCTGGTCCAGAGGTTCTTAACCTTTTAATAAGCAGCGACACAGCGGTAACATGATTTATTCATGACGCGACAAATCATTCAAACCGTCCATCCATCAAAATGTATAGTGGCTGTATAAGCATGCCTTGCTCCATGAAATTTTAGTACCTACGGCACACAGATGCATGTCGTATCATTTCATGCGCTAAAGCTGTATTTAAGTGGTCACCTTTGATGATTCAAGACCCATATGTGCTTCATAACTTACATCGATACCATGGATCAGTTATCGTCGCGATGTAGGTTAAACGCCTATTTACGTCAAACCAGTTTCTCAAAATACCCTCTGTTTCTTTACTTAGCGCTCCTTACCCGTAGGTGCATATGGGCAGTGTGCAAGTACGACACAGAGTCATCGTATTTTAACACCTGCAACTTGGATCATTTTGTATCATTTTGTATCATCATCTCGTATAATTTTGCATGCTTGTCGCAGCACATATGGATCAGGACGTATTTTTGAATTGTCGCCATCATCTGATTACCAGGTGCATTTGGCCAGTAACATATGGTTTAGAAATCATAATGATCATTCATCATTATCGTCATCAGCAACACCGGTATCATCAGCGTAATCGTTCACATCCTCCTTTTCGTGCTTGTCGACGTCATCAGGCACGCATAGTCAGCGGCGTAGCATAGAGTAGTTATCATGATCATTCACAATTATCATCATTCTCCTTTTTTTCAGCATCAGCTTCATCTCTTATTTTTGTTTTCGTTGTCATAGTCATGCATGCTTTGTTTGGACAAGCTGTTGCACTGACCAAAAGTTGGTCTTTTAGTCTTGGCTTAGAGGGGTTAGCTCTGGGTTGACTGGCTTAGCGCCTTACTTGCCACATATTTCTTACAGGAATCAAAAAGACTGTGCTGTCTGTCCTTGGTTTGAATGGAATTTAGTAACGAACGATGCGCAATACAGCAAAACTGCATCGATCTATATCCCCTATCACATGTTTCCTTTTCGTCCTTTGCCATTATGAATAAATGGCTTTTGAAATTTCAAATACTCGTCTTGTCTCCCAAAACTACTCATTAATTGTATATGTAGCGACAGAAAAACTCATATTCAACAGTAAATGTTTGAGCTGTGAGATTGGAACTTTCTTCACTTTCATGCTTAATCGTTTGTGCACTTCCATTATTTGTTATAGAAAAGATTTTTGAGGTCATTATGACCAGTTCATAATACCCTGTTGAAGCAGTAGAGCAGCTGCCTCCACTGAGAAAGTCCTATGAATTTAGGTAAGTTAGGGATATTGGAACATCGGCAATTGTAAACAATATTTAACTTAACCTTTTATCATTGTCGGACACAAATGGCATTGTCATTGCCGTTGAGGACTGTAGATCTGGCCAAATGTATACTTCTATGCAGCTAATCTCTGATTTTTGATGATTGTTTGAAATCGTATGGATTTAAAGCCTGTCATGGTAGTTTGTTCCAGATGCTAGATTTGTTTGTGCAAAAAATGTTTCTGCAGACTTTCTTTCGCCTCTTCGTGCATTTGCAGCTTAGCTAGCAGCCGCGATTTCGAATTCCGGCCAGGTGACTCGCTTTTTTCATTCAGAGTAGATAAACCAGTATCATAGCGCGCGTAAGAAAAAAGAAACCGGTTCCTGTGCCAGCCGTATGGCTACCACGTTCTATTTATAAATAACCCGCTGTTTGATGTGGCATCGAAACAGAAGTCAGTGTTTTGCTATATCTTCCTTTAAAGAAGGATACAGCGGTGATGCCCTGATGAAATGTACCGACTGATATCCTCACGTTTACAAGCTTTCCTTTACTTAATTGATCCACAGTTACCAACGTCTAACGATTCTGATTGTCATTTAGGCCATTATATGACATCAGCAATCAGCAAATCAGCTGTTTGGATATACGTTCTAGAAAACCAGTCCTGTTTGCATATCTAATTTCACTTTTGTGATGAATGTTTTGACCACAAATTTACGCTGTCTTTTGTTAATTTGTCCATTTTAGTTGAAGATCCGTGCTTGCAATGGGGAGTATGTAGTCAGCATTGCAAATCTCAGGGTATTCATTACTTTTGCTATTGTGAGAAGGATTACGAACTGCTTCCGGACAAGTTTACCTGCAAATCGTTAGGTAAGTGCTGTGATGATTTTGTTTAGCGTTGATCTGTGTCCGTGAATTTAGAGCACATACGACCATATATCATTTTTTCTAATCGTCATGATATTCGTCTTGTCGGTCTTCGCGATGACATCACGTCGTCACTCGCTTTAAACTTGAAAAATACTATTGCCATCGACTTCTGCTACGAGGGCGAACAGTCGTGGATTTTTTGGACTGATATTGCAACTGACAAAATATATAGAGGTCTACTTGTTGATCATGGTAACTTATTTTTTCATCATATTGATGTACGGAAGGTGAAAAATGCTTGAAGCAGCGGTATTTTGATTTGTAATTTAGTTGAATACCGTGTCCAGCCAGTATTTGGGTTGGTTAAAAATACTGTTTAAAAAATGGTCGTTATTACACTGCTTTAGCAACGTATATGTCTTTATACAGAACGTTGCTGCATAAATGTCATTGGTCGAAGGAAGGACCAAGGACGATGGTAGTACTGGCTTCGATATATGAGTAGAATTGAGTGTAAGTGGCTGGTTCACGTGAAAAATAATTCTTATCTCTCATGCATAAGTGTTACGGAGTGCATCAAGAATGTGGAAATGAATTTTTTCATGTTTAACAATCTAGGTTATCTAACCTTCACCTTCATATACAGACATCTTACGTTGGAGCAGAAACGTCGCAGATGACGGGTAGGAAACCTGCGTGCAATGGAGATGTTTAAGATCGAAGCCGATCTTTGTTCAGAGAAGAATCGTTCTTTCTGCAACCTAGGATCGATACGTTTCTTAGCATAGTGCTAAAGCGTTCATAAAGCAGCGGATATGACGATTCAGACATATTCTGCAACGGCGAAGGAATCAAAATGGTAATTGAAACAGGTAGTGTTCAGAGTACAGTGGGTAGTTTGGCTCAGAAATGTACTTCGAATAATGGTACAGCGGAATGTTAGATAAGCGAGAGTAAAGTGGTTAGTCATTGAATTGAAAGACCTTGGATTCTAATCTTTCTTAGAAAAGGAACGGTCTAGGATGATGAAATCGAAACTGAGGCAGCGTCAATTCATAAGATGCATGAAAAAGATAGTTTCCTAAATGTTTTTAAAAGGTAAAAAACCGACATCGTAACGATTACAAACTTTACTTTGTTTCTTAGAGTAAGAATGCCAAACTTTACTTTCACTTGTTTCTTCCATATTGGGTCCAGCTAATCAGGAAATATGCTACAAGCTCGTGATCCCGAACAATGGGACAGTAGGGTTATCTGGTTTAACCGTCAACGATTTACCCTGATAATGTTCTGTATTACAAGAGCGACTATTGGACTCTCTTGTCAGTACGGAAAGTTGCCGCGTGAGTAATGCAATCCTTCATAACTTAGCTGCATGACATGCAGTGCATCTATGAGTCGAACGATTATGACACGTGTGGAAGACAAACCATTTAGAATGGAATTGTGCTGCCGAATGTTGAGAAATCATGTCGTTTCTAACTGCTCATATATTATTTAACTGTTTATAATTAAACAAAAGCCTACTTGCTCAACTGAACCTGAAATGCAGTTGTGACATTTCTTGCGCCATATTTTCTTATATGCATTTAATTAGTATTTGGTGCTGTTCTCTACTGAATGGCACCGCATGTCGAATTTATTATGTACAGATTCTCCAACATTTCGGATTGCGCTAGACCTGTCTTCAGGGAGAGATGTTATATGGCAGAATGTTGCAAGCAGATAGCAGCTTTTTGGAGGTTTTAGCTTCGATAATGGAAATTATTTTATTACTATATTCCAGTGTGAGCGTAGCTCCATACCAACATATCTATTCATGCATTTGTTTGAGTGAATTACTAAGGCTTCCTTATCCTCTGGTTAAAAATTTTTCTCCGTCTGTTCGGTTCATTTGATCCCATGATATATGGTGTCATCCTTGTACTGCATGTTCCACAGCCGCTGAGTTCTTTTCGCACTCCTCCACGTGCCGATCTTTCGCCTGCCTTAATCTTTTCCGTTTCTGTGCATGGTCATTCTGACGTAGATAGGCCGTTGCACCATCTTGCTCGACGCTGAATAAACTGTCATAATTATTATCATGGAAATACATGTCTAGTTTTGTTGATACTTTTCTGTAACTCACGTTTTTTTAGCGCTAACTAGCGTTGAAGTTATTGTGCAATACGGAATTGCGACGGCAGAAGGAATCGCCGTCGACTGGATAGAGAAAAATTTGTACTGGGTTGACAGCAGCTTAGATCACATCGAAGTGTCTAAATTTGATGGACGCTGGCGCGCCACAATTGTTTCTGGGCAAATGCAGAATCTCAGAGCGTTGGCTATTGACTCTAGAAAAGGGTATGCTTTCTAGTCTGATCTTTAAAAATCATTGAAAACCTTTCAAAAACAAAGCCTTATGTTAGGCTGCTGTTTTGGACTGATTGGGAAGAAAGTAATCCTCGCATTGAACGCAGCTCGTTATCTGGCAGCAAAAGGATACACAATCTGGTGCAGGTGCTCGCCGTCAAGGGAGGTGGCTGGCCGAACGGCATAACGCTGGACTATTTGCTGGAAAGATTATACTGGATCGATGCAAAGTAGGTGTCCGTCAAGTGGACCTCCGTTAATTTTCACGTTGCAGGTCTGATTCGATCCATACGACCGACTATAATGGACATGATCATCGGCTTGTGCTGAAAGCGCACGACTTTCTTTCTCACCCTTTCGCTATCGTTATTTTCGAAGACAGAGTTTACTGGACGGACTGGAGAGTAAATTCTATTGTTCGGGTAAGAATATTTTATGCGGCTCTGCAAGTGTACCACTTCGACGTGGTTTTAGTTTTAGTTTGCCGCTTCGAATCGAAACTGAATTCTGAGTTTCCGCGTAAATTTTCTGTCACTTATAGCGCTGTATTAGTTGCTGTGAAATCTGTAGCTCTTCAGAGGTCACAGGCTGCAACGACTGCAAAAGGTTAGTGTCAACAGTTGTTTACTGTCTATGTCCTTACTGCGTCTTAGGAACTTTTCAAATAATTCTGATGCTCTGATACCCAGATTAAGAGGGCTGCTACAGAATGTTAGAATGTTCTGTCTGGAAGTACCTGTAGTTAACATTTGTATGCTTAGACAGTCGATGCCCTGGAGCCCAGCTACAGAGCAGTTAGGTAGTTTCCGATGTTAGTGCTTGAATCCTACAACCGACGAACATGACCTTTCAGCTTTCGAACAAGTGTCAT